CACCCTGTCTTTGAATACGGCACCTAGAGATAAAGTCTTTGTTTGGGTACTTGTTTTTGGAGCTGGCATATCACACTGTACACACTGTACACCTGGAACCAGTGAACCTCCCTCAGCCTCCTAGCTTCTGGGATTATAGACATGACCATCACTGCTAGCTAAGGCTTTTATATATGTTAATTTTGTGAGCTCTAACTGTGGATTTATAGACTGCCCATATCTGTGATTTTATCCAACTTAGTGTAAAAATGATAAATATGCATTATTGATATAAATGTGTGTGTACATTTATGTATACATGTATTTGGGTTGCTTGTTTTTGTTTTTTTGAGACAGGCTAACAGTCCAGGCTACCCTTGAACTTGAACTTCCTTCCTCAGCCAGAGTGCTGAAAAATCAATGGTCATTTTCTTCCAACATGGACAAGGTCATATGAAAGACACAAGCAGACTCTTTATATTATCATTAAAAACCTGCAGGGGTTACTGGGAAAATACACCCCTTCATTCTCCTTGATGGATATGGAAGATTCCTTCTGGTTTTTCTCATTAGGAAATTATTAAAACAAGCTCTCATAGTGTTTTTTTTTTTTTCTCAGTGTTACCTCGAATTCTTGAGTTCAAGCAACCCATCCACCTCCACCTCCCAAATAGCTGGGACGTGGGCAGGCTTGTGCTACCTGTTAGGAATATTCATAAGAGCCTCTCTGCCAACACAGATAATTCCAATTAGATCAGATTAGAGCAAATCTGATGTTCTCTTTCTGGATGGCAGCCTAAATAGCCTGTGGGAGTGGCCCTGACCCTCCCCAGGGAGGGGTTCGTGCTTGGCAGGCTTTCCTGGAGGTAGAGCCCGGACTAAGGTGACTCCCAGGGGGAGAAGGCTTCCCCGCCGGGTATTACATTCCATACTCTTTGTTTAAAGGTAGCAATGAGCTGAGGTGATGCTTATGACCAACATTTTAGGCTCTTTTTGGATAAAGGGCATTGGCTCAAGTTCAGCTACTTCCTGCTGGCATGGGATGGTATGGGGGAGGGGAAAGCGTATGGTATGGGAGTTGGTGAGCTCATGTTCATCCTGGAGTCCTCAGGCAGCAGCTTTTTGAGGGAGATGAGAAGGCAGGTAGTTAGGAGAAAAAAAAAATATTGTTATTATTGGCCCTATAAATGGGAAGAGTCATTAACTCTCAGAAGTGCCCTGGTATACAGGTGAGGCTCAGGTGTATCAGATACAACCAGATTTTAGTTGGCAGGTGTCCTTGATCCAGGAGAGTTGGTACCTATGATGAAGTCCCAGGAACTGGTGCAGGTGTTGGCATTGTCTGGAGAACACTTTATCTTGACCCAGACAACAGGAGTGACCTGTAAAATATGCTTGAAACTGGTTGGGGTTAAAATAGGCTCTGAAGACTGTTAGATTTTTGATAAGGCAGTAGCACTTTTTTCAGGAACCTGTAGATATCTGTCATAGCAAAAGGCTATTGCTTTTAGGATACACCTGAAACCTGTTAAATCCTGGACTTTGACGCCTGCTAAAGAGGCACACCTGTCTGTATTTTAGCAGGAAACTTAACAAATAAAGTAATGAGCTGCCAATATGTTTAGCTGTCAAATGCCATTAGACAGATCTGGGAGGGATAAATGAGCAGATAAGGGGTAGCTTTTTAGCTATGCAGGCAACCCCAAATTTCTCCATGTCCTTGGAGAACATCAGTCTTAGAAGCAGTGCTTGCCATTAGCTGTTGTGTATAAGAGGCCCAAAGATTTTTTTTTTCCCCATGGCGGGAAGATTTGGTCTCCGTCTTGGCAGGATGAGAAAATCGATTCCCTGGGTGAAGCATTCAGGAAGCTGAAGAGGTGGAAGGCCGCTTTTTGCTGTGAGTGGCTTTGCCAAACCCAAAGACAAAGCCTGGAGGTGGAAGGTCTTTTGCAACCATTCATCTTCTTGGAGTAGCTATAGGGTGCTGCCAAAGCAGGTGTGTCTCTGTGTTAGAAGCTCTTTTGTTAAATGCCATACTCTCAGATCTGTAGAGGTATTTGAGAGTTTGCTGCTCCAGTCTGTCTGGCAGCTCCTCCTCCTCCTTCCCAGCATTCCCTTAGTCTAATTCAGCTCCTAACAATATTCTGTCTAGCTATATGCCAGTCAGCTTTTTTATCTTTATGAGTGTAAAGTTTTACGCCTACTTATCATAACTAAGGAAAACAGTAAGTCTGATTATTCAGTCTTTAATAAAAACTCTAGAAGGGTGCAATATTACTTAGCAATAGGGATATCTGGCTGCCTGAACAGTCATCAAAAGTTCTTCTGTAATGTTGGGGCATCTATCTTTGGTCTACAGGCCTAGTATATCTGACAGATGTTTTTGAGAAGCAGGGAATTTCAAAAGAAGGATTGTCCTACCTTACCTTGGCAAAGTTTGGCAGCCACTTTTTAAACAAAAAAATTCTTCTGGTCTTCTGGTCCAGTTTGAACAGTAACTGTCAGCAATCGAGACAAGGATAGTCTCTTTGCCCAGGTGATTAGCTTTTGCCATAAAGAAAGCAAACTCCACACAGAGGTTCTTCAATGCCCATCATCCTCTTTTGAAGCATATTGGTGCTGTCAGGAGCACACATCTCACTGTCATGAAAAACTTTAGGTTATTAAATATTTTAAATGCCATATTTTGTAGGTCTTTGAAGTGTTTGAAGACCATATATATCTATCTAAATATATGTTTAGTCTTGAAAACATACCTAATATGACTACAAGTTTGATTACTATTGATAACTAACTATAGATTTGATTACTGTAGATGACTAACCTGTTTTTAAATTATTCATTACATTTTTAAATCGGTTACATAAACACAATAAAGATAAAGATTAGACTATTTTCTCTAACTTTGCCAAATACAAATGGACTGAATATTGTAACTAATTCTTACTTGATAACTGTCTTTGGGGTGTGTGTGTGTGTGTGTAATTTTACTATGTTAAGGCTAAAACCTTCCTTTTTAAGTAGACAAAAAGAGGAAATGCTGTGGAACAATCTCTGTACACTGTAAATATGTGTTGCTCTTATTGTTAATAAAACACTGATTGGCCTATAACTAGAAAGGATTTGGGGGCAGAGAGAATGGTAGGAAGAAGAAGGCTGAAGTTGGAGAGGTTGTAAGGCAGACACAGAAGAAGCAACCTTGGAAGTTCATAGCTGAGGTAATGAACCTTGGGATGGCACATAAGAGTAGTAGAAATGGGTTGATGTAAGTTGTATAAAGCTGGCTGGAGACAAGCCTACGCTATCAGTTGAGCATTTATAATCAATAAGTCTCTGTATGGTTGTTTGGGAAGCAGCTGGTGTGACAGAAAAGTCCACCTACACTTGAGTTGATCAGCTGGATGCATGGCTTCATGAACTTGTCTGGTGGATCCATAACAGTGACAGTGTGTATCAGGCTTCTCAGACATCTCCAAACAACAAGCTCTTTGTGGGAGATGAATGTTCAATCGTTTTCCTCAGTGTGGTTTATGTGCTTGCTTTATAGGTCTGTTGCTCAATACATCAGCTTCACTATGTGTCTTAGCTACTAGTAAAGGCAAACCTGAAGCTCCATAGCTTTTAATCTATACAAGTTTTATGGCATATTGGAAATACTTTTTCATGTCAACATATCATCTTAACATATTTTTGTACACGGTTCCACCTCTAGGTGCCAGTCCAGGGAGGATGGGAAGCAACATGAGCAACTAGAGCTATGGGATGGAAGGTGGGAGGTAGGACACAGGGCCAGTGGTGAAATTCCCAAAGAACAAAAATTCTAATAAAACTTAACTTGTGTTTAGATGAGAAGGAAGAGGGGATTCTGGGAAGCATTCTGCTGCCTAGTTTTCAGATAGCCATGCTTACCTCTGAAGACCACATCAATCGCAAGTTTGCATTTAAGGTAAGGAAAGGAACATGCTGCTTTACCCTGTGAAACTAACAGACAGTTGCTGGGGCTGGAGAGATGGCTCAGCTGTTAAAGGCTAGGCTCATAACAAAAAAGAAAGGAAGGAAGGACGGAAGAAAGAAAAGAAAAGAAAGAAAACAGGAGAAAAAATTAGAACAGATGCTGAGTCATAAACTATTGTAAAGGAAGAGCTTCCTGGTAGTAATGTTTACATTTAAAGTTTATTGGTGGTGGTTCACAATTATCTGTAACTCCAGTTCCAAGGGACCCAACACTTTTTTCTGACACAGACATGCCTGCAGGCAAATACTTATGCACATAAAATAAAATTTTTAAAAAAGCTTATTGGTTAGTGATGGTACAGCCATGCCAGGGAATACTGTCATTGTAGGAAACACACACTAACATAGCCCAGGCTGTGTTTTCAAATGTTTCTCTACAGAACAAGCATGACAGAGCAAACATGGTGGAAGACTATGGCTAGATATTCTAGTGGTCATTGTTCTCTCAGTTACTATTTGAATTTCGTAAGATGGACTATATGGGAAGAGCATTGGAGAAGAGTCTCTTCAACATGATGTATTTACAGATTTGTTCACTAGTCTCAAAGACGATCTCAAATGCATAATGGTCATTGCCCATCTTTAGTGACCAGCCACCTGGGTCCCTGCGGAAGCCATCATTCATCCACTCATCTTGTGTTATTGCCACTGTGAAAGTAAACTTTAATGCTATTGCAGTTGCGAATTTTTGTTTTACAAAAATGCAGTCTTTGCTTTAGGGTTATGGTTAAAATAAATTTCAGAAGTGACTCATCTTGGGTTTGAGGTTTGTTTTGTTTTATTTTTTCCTGGTTATATATATTTTTAATAACTGTAACAAATTTTAATGTGGAAATTTTGTTTTTAGGGTAAAGGTGCAGGGGCTAGACAGATTGCTCAGAGGTTAAGAGCATTGGCAACTTTTCCAGAGGTCCTGAGTTCAATTCCCAGCAACTGCATGGTGACTCACAACCATCTATAGTATGATCTGGTGCCCTCTTCTGGCGTACAGGCACACATGCAGACAGAACACTGTATACATAATAAATAAGGAAATAAATCTTTTTAAAAAAGAATAAAGCTACAAATGGCAGAATACACTATCAGTGAAAATGCTTGTGCCTTTCCAAAAGTGCATATAAGTTCAAACTTCATTTAAAAGAATACTTAAGACTGCACTAGTGTGTAACTTTTGCTAATTCATATAGTGCATTATTATTATTAACTGTGAATCTAAAAGAGGAGAAAAGTTTAAGCTGGATGAGTAAGATGATGCTAGAGCAAGGCCCGAGTGCAAGGGAGGAGCGTCAAGTGTGAGTCAACTAGCACAGAGAGCATGGTGCACAGCATGGTGGCGTGAGGAGCAATTGGATAAAATTGGGACCTGGGAGTGTACCTCAGTGGCAAAGCATCTCCTGTGCACACGGCCCTGGTTCAATTTCCAGCATCTCAAAAACACTGAACACAGGTGACGACTTCAAATAAGACCTTTGTTGAGTAAGTGTCTAGAACTGCGATGCTCACACTCACTTGGCCATAAGCTTAAATCTTTGATCTGCTAGTAAATTTTGCAAATGTTTATTGAAATTTTTCTCTTTGAGGGACATTCTATCTGTACTCTTAGATTCTTTAAAAAAACAAAACAAAACAAAAACAAAGCTGCAGTATGAAAAGAAAAGGCAGGCTAGAGAGATGTCTCAGCTGTTAAAGGCTAGGCTCACAGCCACAAAGCAAAGCATTCTGCGGGCTAGAGAGAAGCCTCCGCAGTTGAGAGCACACAGGACTTGGACGTGGTTCCAGCACCCACATGGCAGATCACAAGGTCTGTGTGTTCAGTGCAGGAGATCCCATGCCCTCTTCTGAGGATACTGCTTGCTTGTAACATACAGATGTGCACACAAGAAGAACACTATCACATGAGAACTTAAAAAGTAATAGTAATAAAAATCAGTTAAAGAATTTTTTTTAAAAAATCTGCAAAGTTAAAATAGCACAGAAGTGGCCACAAGGGTGTGGTATAGTTTCTCTATAACATTAGTTTAGTTTTGATTTTCTTTTGTCTGTAACAATACTAATTATTCTTTTAACTTCTTTTTTGTGGTGTTTCCCCTAAATTTTGAGCTACTATATGACCGCATTTGTTGACTTTGAGTCTGCTCTTATCGGCATGGTAAGTAGGAACTTCCCAGTTTCTGAACTAGTGCATGGTGGGGTGGCTGTGTGCATGGTCTGGTTCTGCTGTCCCAGGGTGGGGACAGGATCTTCCCACCACTGGCCCAGTTCCCTCCACTGATCACAGATAGGGGCAATGTTACCGAAACCCACTCTCAAGAGTCCAGTGACTGCTGATCATTTCGGCACCAGAGCACTTGAACTGTGTCTTGGGCTACTTCAGCAGTTCCCTCTGACCTCACCGTGGAGATCTGTTAGTTAGGACATTACAGTGCTCGCCACTTATTGGCTATATGTGTGTTGTAAGTATTGTAAAGATGTTAAGTCGGTTTGATCTAGGGGAGAAAGTAGATACGAGACATTGTCGGGAATTGTGTGATTCTAGATGGAGAGCTCTGGTTTTCTACTTAGCGGTCAACTGCTTAACAGGCTCCTCCCCTCGCTTGGGCTGCAGTGGCTTTTTTTCTTCATTTGACCAAGTGTTCAGGTGTCTAATGGGAGAGGACCACAGGGCTTTTAGGTAGACCTTGCGACTGTCCCCTCAGCCCACAGCTTGTCTGCTGTGTTTTGCCGTGGCTGTGCAGTGACCTCCCACAGTAATGGTCTCCCCATTGTCCTTACGCTGGTTTCCTCCTGTTTTTCTGGTAAACATGTACCATAGAGGAAGACCCCCCTGGGTGTTTCCTCCTCTCAAACAGCAGGTTTTGTAACTTGGAAACCTGGAAAGAGAACCTAGAAGGAAATGCCATTGGAGTCATTTCTGCATACGTGTCCATGCGCCATCTCTGAAAGACGCAAACAGCATTGCCTGTAAAGACTAAAGACATTGCTACTGAGCAGCAAGAATGCTTGCATGGGCTTTCCCGTTTTGTTGCTGCTCTTTCTAAAGCACACCCCACCTTTGTGCTATTTTGTTTTGTTTTTTGAGACTGGGTTTCCTTCCATTTTGGATCATTCTGTCCTAGAACTCACCATGTGACCAGGCTGGCCTAAGAGTCATGCCTCAGCCTCCCAAATGCCATGCCTGGCTAGAAATATTATACTTGAATGGGAAAATATTATCTGCACTGAATTAAAATGGTTGGAGTTGAGTGAGTGGGGCAGACCCCACAGGTGTATTTTGAACATACTTCCTAGAACACATGTTTTTGTAGCTTTGAGGTATATGCAATTGAAGAAACATTCAAAGGATAATTAATGTTGTAGCTGCTGGGGTCCGTGTTATGTTCTTTCTTAAGTCACGTCTGTGTCTTATGTAAAAGACAAGTCGACTTTCTCTGAAATTCTGTAGTGGTGACAGATACAGAGCTGCTTTTCCTTCTCTATTTCAGAATTGCGTGTCATGATAAAGTGACGGTGTCGTTTCCACTCAGGCAGCCCATCCGAACATGCGGACCTATTATTTCTGCACTGATACAGGAAAGGAGATGGAGCTGTGGATGAAGGCCATGTTAGATGCTGCCCTGGTGCAGACAGAGCCTGTGAAAAGGTACAGCTTTGCAGGGAGGCAGCAGCGACCCCGTCCCCGTGAGAGTCCTTCCTTGCCAGTGCCATCCTCACCGCGCATGGGTTTCTCTTGGCCTCATTCACGGCCTTTGTTGGTGAAGACCCCACCTGCATTTTTATTTCGCCTTTTTTCTTGCCTCATTTTCATCTGTCAGTGTGCATGGATTACTCTAGAATCCTAACATTCAACCTGAATGTTCTTTCTTCTTACAGAATTACCTTTAATTTCCGGTGAGTACACCTTCTTATTACCTTAAAGCTACACAGATTTGTGCGCTTCACGGGAGAATTTTTTTTTAAGAGCCTAAATCGTAGACATTAATTTCATGCAGTTAATTTTATTGTGTTCTTATATTGTGTTGGTATTTGGGAACTAGATAACAATAAGAAATTCTGATACATTTTATTTTTTTAGTATTTTCTGGCCAATTCTGACTATTTTATTATTAATAACTCCAGAAAATAGTTCATAGAACATTTAAATAATTTCTAAATATGTCTACGACTTGATGAGTTGACCCTTTCCTTTAAAACTGTAGTGCTCAGATTCCCTGCTAAAACTGACCCTAGACTTGTCTGTGTTCTCCTCTGCTTGAAGATAATGGGTCATATTAATATTCCCCATTATACTGGGGATCAGCGTACCAGCCATGGTGGCATGCACATGGTTTTTTGCACATGTATGTGCACATGCATGCGCTACAATGTTCTTGTGGAGGCAAGAGGACAGCTTCAGGAGCCGCTGCTCTTGTCGGTGCATGGGTCCCAGTGACCACACTTAGCATCCACCCACTGAGTTGGCGCCGGCCTGTAGCACACACTTACAACCCAGGCGTTCATCGGCATGAGAGCCTCAAGCTCAAAGCCAGCCGGGGCTGCATCACAAAACCCTGTTTCAAAAAGGAGCAGACCTAATCCAAGAAAATTTGTGTCTCAAACTGCGAAAATAGAGGTTGAATGGATAGGCTTTTCTTTTTTTCCCCCCCTGGAGACAGGGTTTCTCTTTGTAGTCCTAGCTGTTCTGGAACTTGATCTGTGGACCAGACTGACCTTGAACTCACAGATCCACCTGCCTCTGCCTGCCATTTGTTGGGGAATATGCTCCTTAAAACTTCCTATTATTTTAAGGTTTATAGTTTAATTAAACTTTCCAGTCAGTGATAATTAAGTTCGCATCTTATATAAGAAAACTGCTAGTGTGTACATTTAAAGGGATGTGTGTGTGTGTGTCTGTCTGTCTGTCTGTCTCCCACTTAGAGACCAAGCCCTATCAAATCATGCATACTACTTCAGTGTACATTTTAGTAGTCTTTTGGCATGTTGTCTGAAAGACTAAATTGAGGCTTTATTAGATATTTGTACTTTTTTTTTCAGGCAGGGTCTCTCCACGTAGCTTCTCAAGTCCTGGAATTCTTTATGCTGACCTCAAGCTCAAAAAGATAAAAAGATTCCCCTGCCTCAATCTCCCAAGTGCCATTATAAAAAGCTTCTGCCACCAAGCCTGACTCTTACTTGTACTATTGTTTCTAAAACCCAAACCCTCCCCCAGGTACCCAAGCATGGAACTGAACAGGTTCTGGGTTTGCTGGTGGTCGTGGCTGTGCCAAAGGTCAGACCCAGGGCCTGTGTATTGTGTATGTTAGGCAAGTACTGTGCCAAAGCCACAGTCCTAGTCCTTGGGATCCCAGCACCAGTGAGTGTTCTGTGCGGGTAAAAGTGTTTGTCTCCAATGCCTGATGGTCTGAGTTCAGTCTTGAACTCACGGACAAAGGAAATGACTCTGCATTATTGTCCTCTGCCCTCCATATGCACACCGTGAATGTATACCCCACACATGCATGTGCACGCATGCGTGCACACACAGATGCATACACACACACAAATAATAAATAGTGGGTTCATGGTGGAACATGCCTTTAATCCCAGCACTTGCAAGGCAGAGGTGGGCAGATTTCGATTTTGAGGCCAGCCTGGTCTACAGAGTGACTTCCAGGACAGCCAGGGCTACACAGAGAAACCCTGTCTCAAAAAAAAACAAAAACAAAAACAAAAAAACACTAATCATAATAATTATAATAAATAGAACGAGAAGTCACCTGTTCCCATGTACAACATGCATACCCATTTACCGTACTACATTGAGAGAAAGAAACAGAGAATGGATTTTAATCTTGTTTCTCTCTCACCTTGTACTCAGAAAGAAAATTGAAAATATGCAAATTTACCTCTAAGTAAAGCTTCTAGGAATTTTTTTAAAATATAGAAATTAGAGTATTTTATTTTCAAGTAGTTTCTATACTGCGTGTTATACTTTTTGCAACTTACTTCCATTTTCTTTTGTTGAATTTACTAGTCTAACAACTGGAACCAAGTGTGGTGGTGCACCCCTGTAATCCCAGCACCTAGGAGGGAGC